GACAGACACACAGACATACAGACACAAGCAAAGGAAATCAACACAGGTGCACAGAATTTTGCAAAGTGACAAGATGAGTCCACCGTACACGACTCACACCAACTCGACACTCGACTCCTGTACAGCCCAATGCAAAATTTCGACCTGCTGTACATCACAACATAAGGATCATCATCATCATCAGCCCTTTTGCGTTGGCATCGGCGTCAGCCTAGCCTTCGCTTGGGCCACACCCAATGTTAGACATGATACCAGAAGAAAAGGGGAAAAAAGAGAAGAAAAAAAAGGAAGAAAGCGAAAACAGAAAACGGAAAAAGGACAAACGTCTAGATGAACAAACACTTGATCATATGCATACTATTCAAAGACACCACATTGGTGCAGAACTACAGCATAAGGAGACACTGGACAATACCGGGAAATGCCCAACATGTTCCCAAACGTACTACGGTATAACCTCCCTAAGCCGATAGCTTACAACAAAGGACTACTAGTACCCACAGCAAAGGACACTTTACAGCAGAGGACACCTTACGGCAAAGGACACCTTACAGAAGAGGACACCTTACAACAAAGGACTCCCGACAGCAAAGGACGCCTTACAGCAAAGGACACCTTACAGAAGAGGACACCTTACAACAAAGGACTCCTGACAGCAAAGGACACCTTATAACAAAGGACACCTGACAGCAAAGGACACCTTACAACAAAAACACCTTCACACAGCTTTTTTGGACAACAAAGGACACCTTACAACAAAGGACACATTACAACAAAGGACACCTGACAGCAAAGGACACCTGATAGCAAAGGACACCACACAAGCATACCTGCACCAATTCACGCAGAATCAGGGACATGTTTTAAAAAGGTCAGCCCCAAATGTTTCCATCAAGCGAGCTACAATGTAACAAACCCTGCACGGGATAGATACTAGATAATGATTGTGTTCCTAGGTATGTCCCGGGATGTCCCTAATCGAGACCAGAAGCTCCACAGCCTGGACAGCCTGGACAGCATGCAGTGCAATACTGCCAATAGTTGATTTCAAAACATTTTTTCGACTGATTTACAATACTGCACTGAAGCTATACCTGGGGAAAACATTCCAAACATAGCTAGCCGATGCTCCATCACTCCAGTCTCCAGACTGGATAGTCCGCCTGGTTACCTGGTACAAGGTAATAAGCTCTTTGGTTGACTGGGGAGTCCCCACACCCAAAAATCACCAATACGCTTCACTGTCCGTGAACACGGTGGGAGGGGACGCTGGTGGGAACTAGAATTCCATACCGAGAAGAAGCTGACAATAATAAATAACCGTGCAATCTTGGAAAGATTTTCTACGAGCAATATACATTGTACATCTACTGCCTACTCGGAATAATCTGGATACCCATGGCGACGGATTTCAACTACTCGATTAGTTTTCGCGAGCATGTCTTTGGCGCTATTCGATGCAGACACACCATGCCAAGCTAGCCACACTCAGTCTCAAGTTCACTCTCAACCCGTCCGCGATCCGGCCGAGTAGACCTACGAGTCCTGTTCTCTTCTGAGTAAAAACACGAAAACAGCGGTCCACGGCTATATTATGTCAGTATCTTGTGACACAACTAACTTTACAAGAAGTCCCCTGCAAGGACACCGACACCTCGTGGAGTAGATCTACTATCACTATAATACAGGTGCAGATTACGGCGGAATACGGTTACAGCACAAGGTGAATGTCGCACACCAACTTTAATACATGTACTAAAACGGCTATAAACACAACAAGATACGGAGAAAGGCAGGCTTTCAGGCCTTTCCTACACATCTACAAACATGTACTAATTGAATCACCTTCGAACTTTGCGAACCTTGGCACGACGGCGACGGATTGAACTCAACGAGCCCCTTCGAGGCAGGACATCGTATCTGGACGACCTGATCTGCAATGGCCCCAGCATGGTCATCGCCCGGTGTAGAGCACTGCTCCTCGCCGAGACGTTTTGCAGGCTTCGCCGCAGATCGGCGGAGAAGGGCACAGCATCGTCGTGCTCTCCGACAGCAATTCCTTGCACGTCCATACTGCTTGCCGAGGACACTGTGAAACGACGCCTTCCACCGGGTGAGATAATATTCTCCTCAGAACTCGCCGACATTGCAATGCTGACGCCGCAGTGATTCTGGAAGCACGGCTTGGATCAGGGGCCGACAACCGGCGAGTTTAGAACAACAGAAGTTTAGTCGCCTTCCTTCAGGACACCAGCTATCCTGGCTGGCATAACTAATACTTCGAAACCTGCCGGGCATAAACGAAATCCAAGCAAGTGAGGTGCGCGACCTGCTGGCTCAGCTCAGGAACAGTTGAGGCTCTGGCGGAAACTACGAACGCACTCTCGTGACGGCCATGACACCGTGATTCCGATTTGAACAGGAGGAGAAAATCTTGGCGGTGTGTGGCAGCAGCAGCGAAAGTGAGTACAGAGCCACGCCGCAGCACTCACTTCTCAAGTGATCTTTCCGTCATATCATAATTATCAGCTCAGTACAACAGCTTGGCATTCGCAGACTTGCTGGCCGCACGCACGGCCGTGTACGGGTGTGCGTGCGTGAAGTGCACGCGTGCACGGCGCGACGAGTCCAAGGCCAAGGGCCAGGGGGCAAGGGGTGCACCACTGCACTACGAGTACGACTACGAGTAGGTGGCGAGGTGCATGCACGCTTCCCTTCGCCACTCCTGCTCAGTTGGCTTTCCAGCTTTCGGATTGCGAAGTCCAACGTCAACCTGTCCTGGCTTGGCCCTTGGTCAAGTCGTTGGGTCAAGTCAAAATAATTATTTGATGACTACATGTATATGACTGCACGATGTACTACAAAATGTAGTAGCCTACTTCAGTCTGTTCACTGCCTTGAGTCCGGAGTCCGTGGGCCAAAGGTTTAGTAATATATCGTAGTATTCGTCCAGTTTGTCCTATTCTGCTTCCTGTTCCATAGACATAGAACAGTGTAACTTGTTGTAGTCGACCTGTGCTGAAGCCTACACTGCAGACTGTAGTCTAGTGTAGAGCAACGCAAGTCAGTCAATATGGTCAAGAGGCTGGCTCAAAGACCGATGGGGAAAAGAAAGGAAAGTCAATAGGGCCCATTGGCCTTGCTGTTCCTACTAATCGCATACACTGAAGTGACGCAAGGACTCAGGTCCTTCGCCTGGCTAGCTGCTAGCAACTGCGCACAGATTGTTCCGTCTCTCTACAACTCTGCTCATCCACAAACGAAATGCCTTGAAAACGTCCTGCGATTTCTTCCTCAGTTCTTGCAGTGCCCACAGCAGGTTGAACTAATTACTTCTTGAAGGTCAAGCCATTTGTCGTGTGGCAACACAGCCAACAGCTCAGTCAGGGCGTGCACTCTATGCAAAGTATGGGTACAAACTGCGTCCCAATGACACGCTAGCCGGTGTACTTTCGGAGAGCGAACGAGCGCATCATCGTGTTACAAAATATTCCTTTGTGAGCGATACGCGAGCATATCCGACTCAAGCCTATCGCGAAGCTTTGAACAAACGCTACGTCAGGTCAGGAAGCACCTGTTTTGCGAGTACTAGTGTAGTCAGTAGACCGTAATCATAATACTAGTGCGAAGTGTAAGTGGTGCTCCGACGCAGAACGACGATCATGGTGAACAGGTGGGCAATGGCGTCGGCTGAATGTTGGATGGGCGAAGCAGCTGATCCAGGTACTACCTGACAATCACGAACAGGAAAACAACCATCACTCTGAGGCGACGAACGTTCGAACTCACTCTATCGCTGCAGCACGCACTTACTAAGTTAGTATACAGGCAAGGATGGTGGTGTGCTCTTTGATGAACTGCTATAGTGTTACTTCATCTAGCAGCCAGTACCAAGTACTTCCAACCCAAGAGTAAGACCAAAAGTCATGTAGCTGTGAATACAGCAAAGACTTTTAGAATGCAGATACCAATTATTTCATGAGCCGATGGTGTAAGCAATCATGCAATGAAGTATTCTTGTAAAGGATTGGAACCCTGTGTTATTGCCTTCCCTCACGGGCCTCCATTTCTTATTTTCTGCTTCATCATACATACACAAAATTAATAGGAGATCCCCTAGATAGGCATTATAATTTATATTAGCCTTTGGGTAATCCTGAAATAAAGATTATTATTATTATTATTATTATCGCCCCCCCCCCCCCTCTACAGTCTCCAGCCCTCCCCCCCCCCCCCCCCCCCTGTTTTGAACAACATCTTGACCTTCACTGCACTGAGTCTGTATTCCTCCTCCACTGCACCCTGGACATACCGGTACTCGCACGTACAGTCCTTTCCATTGCCTAAGTATGTGGGTGCATAGCAACCCACTCATGTCGCATGCAGGTGTGACTTTATTTCGCCACCAGTTGTAACCCCGCCCCCAGTAGCCAAATCAGTCAGTTTCACTGGCTACATCACCATGCTGTGGGTAAGACCGCTTGAAATGTGCTTGGATCCATACAAAAACTGAATCCAAGTGGATCCAGTTTTTGAATTTTTGAAATTGTTGCTATGCTGTGACGTAGCACTTTCAAGCCCCAGGTCCGCTGCCGGAACCGGGCTGGTTGGTAAGGTTATCACCAGGCCAACGTCGTTCGGTACACGTACGTACATATAGCCACCCAGTTACCATAGTGTCATCCAAGACAGCATCATCACGACATCAGTGTCAGTCTGCGAGAATAGCTGGATGTGGTGTAGCGCAGAACTGTGTGTGTGTGTGTGTGCATAGTGTGGTTAGTACTAGTACTAGTGCAGATGTGTTACGGATTGTAGGTGTAGTGAAAATATGACAAGGCTACTGTACAATGGAGGTTCAAACTCAATCAAAGTCCTCAATAATATTAATCCAGGCCGGAAAAAGCGCCATGCCAGAAGAAGACGGGTATTGAAAGTGCACATGTCTAGATAGATTTATAGTCTTTTTTACATAGAATGGAAGAGAACAACAACATCAACAACAACAACAACAACAACAACAACAACAACAACAAAATCCATTGCGCCCAGCCTACATTGTATGTGATAAACTCCCTATTGCCATCGCTACTGCCTCAGCAAGCAGCTAAACTTTGATCTCTCTGTATCTGATCCCCGTGCCTGTAATTATTTTTCTCTTATTGGCCACAGGCCATCGTGAGAATAAAAGATTTCAAACAACAACAACAACAACAAAGAACATTGGATCACAACAAGTTACGTGACGTTATCGTTTGGTGCCAAAATGCCTGAACTGCTGAAGTGAAGAATCGACGAACACAACAGTGAAAATACACTGTGCTGTAGACGTAACAAAAGCTAATGCCAACCACGGTCACGGTGTCACCAAATCCTGTGGGTCAGGTGGTCGTGACTCGTGACGGGACAGGGACACTTCAGCGGAAACAGCGCACACGTGCCACTCCAGAATTTACTTTGGTGAACAAACGCCTGAAACGGCGTTCCTTGGACCGGAGGTGCGAGGGTTGCCTAGGCCCTAGCGGAGCTGCAGTGGTGGAGGTGGTGTAGACGGCACATGCTCTGCTCTGTAGTCTTGCGGTCACTGGCCCGGAGTGCAGGCAACTTTGCACCTCACGCACCACTGACTGCATGCCTGTGCTGTAGTGTAGTATTACATCATGAAAAATCTACACCTCTGACTCTGTAAACACGTCGATCTCGATTAGCACCAGTAGTCCCAAAATACTTACGGTATTTTACGACTCCCTGATCAGCACAAACTCACCCCGGAGTTTTTTTTGACAGGGCCGCCTGCTCACCAGACACCCATTATCAATACTAGCGACCTGCAGCATCCTGAACTCTCTCTGGCCTGGCAAGTGGCAGACTTCCCCTGAGCTCTAGCTACGGACATGGAACCAGAGAGAACGTCTGCAACAGTTCAGGCACTCGTAAACTCTCGTCCTGCTCTGCATACATAACCTGATCTAGCTTTGGAAAAATAATTTTTCATTGCTATCAGGTTTGGCCTCTGCGCTGAGGAGTCCACAAAGGACGAAACAGTTCGGCCGCAGATTGAGTACCTATCCCGGTATGCAGACAAAACGCTTCCAGGCATGCACAGCTGCAAACTCACTTCCTCTAAATGACACTACGCACGTAAAATCTTCCTACAAGTACCATGAGTACAACGCGTAGAGGCGCATTCTGCACCCTTCTGTGTGACAAAATACATGTACTGGTACAATCATTGTATTCAGCACAGCAGGCGGCATACTTGCATCCTACCTTTTCAAGGCTTTTGTCTGTCTAAGTCCTCAATTTAGGGCCAGAGCTAGAAGTGCCACAGTACATGTATACTGGAGCTAGCTAGGCCAATCTTAAAAATTAATGACATTATAATATTCCACCGCTTCAAGTATTTCAGGAACGCGCGCTCTGATGCGAGTACTGTATTGTGTATGGGAGAGAAGTCAGCATGGCCACTACAGACAGTCAATAAGTATGTAACCATCGTCCACTAATAGCACTATGCTTTCTCAAATATAGACCTGTACAGACAATCATGGACAATGCCAAGACGGCAAGAGGCCTTTATATAATTATTATGACTGTGGTACCCATCTTCCCCAGTCTTCACTCATGGTAGCCCTACGAGTACGAGTACATGACATACGGCGGTACATGTACAGTCATGTAGACTCTACAATAACTACATGTAGTACAGTCATATCCTGTCTCGCAGAGGCGTCGTCCATGGTGTTTTTACTTTTTAGCCGTTCGAACAGAAGTAACAGTTCACTCCTTCCTTATTTCATTGGAACGTTGCAACGTTCATGGATTTTCCAGTCAAGTAAGTTCATTTAGTCCTCGGATCGTACATTATTATTATTATTATTATTATTTTTTCTTATTTTGTTAGGGATTTCCCATACATAATAATTATTATAGTGCATGTGTTACAATCATCTATATAGTATATCTACTTTACACTGCTTCACAAGAGGAAATTGATCACACAACAAACAACCCTTGTATAGCCGGTGGTAACTGGTAACGCGGACGTGCAAACTTTACTTTACTTTACAAACAACCCTACTGCTGGGACGCCTAGCGTCTGTTTTTCATTGATCCTTTCGTTGGGAAACCAACATGTCCTGTCCCGCTGCGCGACTCACGGCGAAGTTCTAGTGGCGATTTGAAATTAAAATAAATCCAAATGGAAATACAGTGAGTCAAGTAACTCCCGACGGCCACACGTAGACCTACGCTCTTCTTGTCGACGGCCGGCCGTGCGGAAGCCGCGCTATCTCTCTCAGTCTCACGTTGACACGCAGTTTCGAAAGTGTTTTCACGCCTCGACGAAGATCATACTGCCATTGCTGACACATGTGCTAGTTCTGTTTCACAAGCTATCGGTAAATAATACACGTACATGTACATGTACATAAAGTCATTGCACATGTAGTTGCTAAAGTGCTCGATGCCGGCACAGTTGTTTAAAAAAATTATATTTAT